TTGGTGAAGATTAAAATCAAATTTTTAGTAAATTTTGATAAAATTTAAATAGTTATGAATTCCATCAAATATGTTATTAGAATTAATTGTTAACTTTGATTTAGATTAAAATTTAAATTTCAATCGACATCAAACATAACTTTACAAAAAAAAAAAATCAAAAGTTGAGGGGGGCGGGGGCAAGTGCCCCCCCAGGACCCCCCGGGTCCGCCCCTGCTACCATTGTTGTCAAGCAATAATTGGTTGGAAAAACATTTTTTCCTTTTTAAAAAAAATTGTCCAATGATATATTGTCACTTATAAAGTGTAAAACTTGATGTACACCAAACATAATTGTTGAATCACTCCATTTCCTATTCGTTCCCAACTGTACGAGGTTTTCTTTTTATCCATCATCGATAATACAGATACAAATTGTCATTTCAATGCCCAATACAGTATGGAAGTATGATAGTTGAATAATAAGACATGCTTGGTTTCATGAAGAACATACATTCTATAGTCCTTTCTTAACTATTGGGTCCATCCCACGTACATTCTGTTCCTATGAAGTCCCTATAAGCTTCACCAGAATCCCGCCCAACCCCTCCCTTCGCCTACTACATATTACTTCAACCTTTTTTAGCAACAGGAACTGGTAAACACAGTATACTTAATAACCATCAAAGACTACAATTCAAACTACTTGGTCATAGAACCTTATAAAAATTACAGTACCAGCAAGAACCAGCCCATTGTGGCATTGTGTTTGTCTCACGTCTGGCAGGTTTCCCAGATACTGGATCAATTGTTTTCACCTAGAAATCATTCACCCATGAGAGGCACATAAAAATTAGTTACCACAGAGTGGAAAACAAAGCCGAGAAAATGATATAGCAAGCAGGTCACTAGTGCAACAAAGTTTCAATTAATGTCATAACGGTTTGTGTAAAACTGCAAAAACACAGAAATTAGGAACTGTAACATCAGTAGGTACTGAAATTGGGGCATTCAGAGACAGTTCGGGCTTCTCCCCACAACTAATATATTAACAATCTTGTAAAAACACACATAAATTGATCAGTAGCACGCACGCACATTCGTGAAATAATTAAAAAAGAGTAAAAGTGGGAATACATTCACCTGTATCTTCCACAAAATGACCTCGTTTACAAAACAAACAAGTATAAATTTATTCACAAAAATTCAACTGAAAACAGAAAACAGAATTTCATTACGAAAATTTGGAAAAAAATATTCTAAAAGTAAAACATAATAACCTTCAAAAAAACATTGCATTAACGTACAAACCAATGAAGACAATTGAAATTGGAATTCATTTTCAGTTACATCAATTGCAATCGCTTACACATACCGCACATCAAATTTTGTATCATGAAACTTTTTGCCGATCTTTCACTCTATAATTGTAACACACATCATGCATGCTCTATATTGGACATTATAGTTCTATTTTCATACTTTTTTTATTCAGCAAAGAATTGGCCCTTAACATTGAAATTAGAAGTGATTATCTGTGATCCCTGCTGCGGAGGGAGGCACCACTTATAAAGATCAAAAAATTAGTTAAAATATCCAAATCTGATCACTAGTTCACTACGCACATGCTCTCCTTAATCTGTCTATTTAAACAACTAAGGTTCATCCCTATTCCATCTATCATAAGCATAGAGTACAGTATATCCTACGACTCTATCAGTCAAAAGAACAAGCAGCCTAAACTGCCCTTCTACAGTAATGAACTTCATGATTTCAGCACATAAATAGCACATTAAATGTTTTGCAGAAAATTTTACCACACAAGTTATTGTAACACGTGATTGTAAAGACCTGGGAGCAGAACCAATTAATGTTCCTCATTGTTGTGATCTTTGAATGCTTTTCTGTCTGTCAAACATCAAGTGAATTTTATGACAAGAAAATAAAAGAAACGAAAAGTTTGAGGAAGTGCAAGACATACCTCAATTGCATATTGCTCTGCAGGTAAACCAAATGCATCCCATCCCATTGGATGTAGCACATTGAAACCCTGCATCCGTTTAAGTCTAGCGAGGATATCTGTGGCAGTATATCCAAGAGAAGGCCAACATGCAGACCAGCCTCAATGCAACAATGACAAAATTTCTTATAAAATAAACTTAGATGACTATTCTTAATCTTAAGCCGTTGAGATATGAAATACAAAATTTGTTCAGCTATCTTGTAATTTGTCTCTTAAAGCCCTCGCCTTCACCATTCCCAAGCAACCATGTTATTTTACTAATCTTCTTATTCCAGTTCAATTTTGTTCATAATTTAATTTCCTTTTTAAATCTGTTGCACACACACTTAAAACCTTTGAGAGAGAGAGGGCCTGAGATAAGGAAACATGACGAGAAATTGATCAGTAGCACGCACGCACATACGTGAAATAATTACAAAAGAGTAAAAGTGGGAATACCTTCACCTGTATCTTCCACAAAAATGACCGGAATTGGTTCTCCCCAGTAACGTTGCCGAGCAAATAGCCAGTCCCTCAACTTATAATTCACCTACAGGGAGATAAATTTGTTCCGCCCCAAAATTTATTGACAGGCTAAACGAGATGGGAACCTTGAGAAAGTAAGACAAAGATGAATTTGAAAAGGTACGAAAACTGTAAGCTTCTATAAATAAAAATATGGAGAATATACCTTTTTCATCCCATTTCCAGTCTTTCAAGCCATTCAATGACATTCAAAGCACCTTCTTTGCAAGAGAGGCCATTAATGTCAAGCCCTGATATTGAACTTGATGAATTTATCATTATTCCTACACCAGTATAAGCTTTCTCGAAATAGCTGAGATTTCCATTATCTGGTGTCCCAACTCCACAAATCGGAATGCAATACTTCAAAGCGAACTCATGGTCAAGTGTGTCATGTGCAGGTACAGCCATTATTGCTCCTGTCCCATAGCTGTACCACAGTTGATATTATATCATCACATCAGTGGAGAATTCAACTTACTAAAGGATTCAGTAAATCAAAATTATGGACATGGTCATGTTCCTCACATTCCAGTCAATAATATAGGTGGATGTTAATATTATGGTTGACGCATCCCCCAACAGGGCAAATAAAAGAAACTAGGGTCTAGGAAAATAATCACACACCTTACCAAAACATAATCAGCAACCCAAATTGGAATATCCTTCCCATTAGCAGCATTTCTTGCATGGCAGCCAGTAAATACCCCAGTTTTTTTCTTTTTGGAGTTCGGTCCTCTCAAGATCACTCTTTCTTGATGCAGTTTCTTTGTACTCTTCCACCTATCTCAAGAATAATTGTCTACTAAATATACCCATGAATATGGAAATATTGACTAAAACATAGTAGAATTAAATGAACATACTTGTTTCCTTTGGGCTTCAGATACATTTGATGACAAAAAAACATGTTCCAGTGCCACCACTAAGTAGCTATAAAGCAACAGCAACCAAATATGAAGCCATAATTGATGCCAAAATAAATGAATTAGAAAATAAAAGGCAGAGTGATAGAGAGAATTACTTGAATAATATTTTCATTCCTTGTTCTTTATCTATTACAGTGGATTTCTATATATAGAGCTACAAGAGAATATTCAATGGAGTGAAATATTGTTACAACAGAATATTCAACAGCAAGGTGTATTCTGGCGTGGAGGATGATAGGGCAGAATTATGTAACTGCATTGTGGTCCTGAGGCATTGTGCTGGCATTTGGTGAAGAGTCAATACTACCCTTAACATCCCCCCTCAAGTCAAGCGACAAATGTTGCAGGCGTAGACTTGTGCAAAGTCTTAGGAACTTGGTCGATGAGAGTGGCTTTGTCAGAACATCTGCAAGTTGATCGTGACCAGAAACAATGCCACCTGAAGTGATTTATTAAGGACCCGATTTCGAACAAAGTGGAAATCAATTTCAAAATGTTTAGTACGTGCATGAAAAACTAGATTTGACGACAGATAAATGGTGCTCATGTTGTCACAGTAGATCATTGGAGCTTGTGGGAGATTTACGCATAAGTCACGGCACAAACTTTGAATCCAGATTACTTCAGTTGTGGTATTTGCAACAGCCTTGAAT